CGTTGCCCCCCCCCCCCCCGCAAACTTTTAATACATAAAGTACGCCATTCTATTTGTTTTGACATGCTAAATACGAAATGAAATTGTTATATTTGGCAAAAATAAATAATATTCAAAAAACTTTCGCTGCTGCTACTACTACATGAATTCTGCGTATACCTACGCATTCGTGACATGCACCGCACCGTGTGCAACCTACTCGAAGCTCGGGATTTCCAGATTCAAAATATTGCCAAAACGAATATGTTATGTGCCGAAGGTATGGGATAGGGGAGACAACGGTAAAGTCTTACTAGTTACCACTATAAAAAGGATAATTGTTTATATACAAATAACTAATACCTGCAATAATGATAAAAATCTATATCAATTGATTTGTACTTAATCCAGTCGGATTCGGTTCTTATATATGCATTTATTAAACCACATTTATGTTGTACAAACAAGTTCTCTCCATCCAAACTTTGTAAACTTAAACATGACTCTTGACCTGATCTAAACTGACACAACTGTCGATTTGTCTTACATGAAACATAATATTTTTGATAACGTAAATTATTATATATGAAAATGTAAGAAGAATTAAAAAAATTGTATTTACTTCTAAATTCCAGACATGAACATTTCCTTTACCAGTACCTGCATAAAGTAGTTCTACATGGGAAGTTATTTGAAAAAGAATAGAATGAATACTTCCCATATCACTTCGGAAAAGGTATATAGGATCCGGCGGAAGTAACGCCATTAGTGTGAAGTTTTTTTGATCTTGTTATGGCATATACACATTATACTTTAGTTATAACTTCTGAACCTCAATTTTATAGAATTAATTTTGAACACTATACATTTTACTTGTAATTATAAAAAGTTCATTGATTCCTTTAGTAAAATGTAAAATAAATAGTAAATGGTAAAATTGATACGTATCTTTGTATTTAATACTTTAAAAATATTTGATATATACTTTTGGTAAGTTTATAAACATTGCAGAATGTACCTTCAAAACATTAAACTAAATTTGGAAACACTGAACTAAGCAGTCTAATATAAACGAAAAGTTGAATAATAGGACGAGAGACGGAAATGGGAATAATTCATTATTTCGTTTCTCCGTTTACAAACACACTAAATAGCTTTTATAACATGTTTTGTATTATAAATAATGGCACCAAGAACATGTGAAATCTTTTATCACCCATAAACTTGTCTAAGTTTCGAATTAGACCGTTAGAATTTTTGGAATTTTGCACTGTCACTGTTCAAACGTAAGGATTACACTTCACACACGGCTTAAAAAGGTCTACAGAAATTATTAACTTTTATAGATCAATTAATCACATACAAATATTCAATTTCTTAACAATCTTTACATTCTGAACGAAAGTAGAATAAGTTTAGAATTATACGCAGTGTGATTTATGCCACAGCAAACTGTTTTGTAGTCTTGAGATCGGCATGTAGTGTGTAGTATGTAGACTGAAGATCTCTAACACTATGCTAGGTATAGAGCGTCATCACGTCAAAATTTGTAGGTCGTACTCGCTTTCTGATTAGTCCGTGCTTTTATTTTATTATAATTTAACAATATCTGTATACATCTAAAAGTAAATTATTTTTATACTATGAATCTTCTCAAGAAAGATTATATTCGAACATTCTTTTAAAATTTGTAATCAATTTTGCCTAGTTTTACGCATAAAATAGAGAGTAAATCTATATACAGTAATACCTCAGGTTTTGCACGTTTTTTCTATCTTCTTTCACTTTTGCAAGCATCCTCACTATTTTACTGCGCATCCAATCCGCAGTGAATCCTGTCTTAACATTAAATTATCAGCCAATCAGAGTAAAGCAATTTCTACGTTTATTCTCGCTAACAGATGGCGCTGCGTCCGGAGAATCTTGCAAAACTCGAGGTATTACTATATACAAATGATGTAACTTATTTCTACACGATGCGTATTCGCCTTAACGGTATCAAGTGAACCTAGCGTGCAACCTACTGCATTTTGTTCGACGGTATATTCTACCGAAAAAGAGATCGCAGATTATCAACTGACTCAAATAATATCTTCAACTTTGACATTACATTAAGCCAACAGTGATTTGAATTCTGTGTAAAATAAAATAAGATCGACTCGTTATACATAACCTGTTATAGAATCCGCAACGCAATGCAACGATATGATGTCCATGCTGTTGTCAAATTATCGTTTTTTGATTGGAGTTCTTGTACTAAGAACTCATAGGAAAAATTGCAATTACTGGCATGCGTTAGTTAACACGTGTGACTGTCAAATACAATGACATCATGGAATTTTAAAGACAGTCGAAAGGAATAATGTTTTGGCATATTCGAAATTTTATTCAGTTAAGAGATATTTGTTATTTCGATTCGATAACTGTATTATTCTTGAAAAAAATTATACGGAAACAGTAGCACTAAAATGTCTGCATTAAAATTGAGTATGCAAGATAAAAGGGACTTGGATAAGTTCACTAAATTCTTGGCATTGAAAGCTGCACAAATTATAGTGCAATCGAGATCAGGAGAAAAGGTCAGCACAAAGTGTAAACCAAATTCATCTGGAACAGATTGGGTAAGCTTATATTTTTTTTTAAAATCATTTTCGATATATATAGTATTGGTAACTTATAAATTTACCATTATTTTATTTTTGTGGTCAATAGAGTTTTAATGTTGATAAATAAATTATAAATTTTTTCGTATGCGTATTAGATTGTTAAATTTATGTCTATGAAAAACTATGTGAAAATTTCTGTGAAATGTTATCTTTATCAATCTCTTTATCAATATTCCAAATATTTTTGGAAAACCCTAACTTTTTTTGTAAAACCTGAACATTCTTAGGAAACCCAAGAGTTTCAAGGTCCTGTCCCAACCCCGAAAATCATTCCTGTTCTTGTCCCAACCCGTTTTCATACGTCTCTAAGCATATTTAATAATTAAGTAATTATTTAAATATTTATTTATTATTTAAATGGTTTAAAAATGATTAAATAAAATTGTACTCTTAAAAGTAAGAAACATATCTCACTGTTTTGTTATAATGTGAAGTAATATATATACTAACAATGCATATGCTTTTACTATAAATTACTGGATATTTCTAAAGTAACTTACATTTCTATTGTTGGATTATGTAGTTCAATTTAGCTATTCACGATGTACCAGAAGTTTTGGCTGAAGCTAAAAGAGCACTATGTGGGGAAATAGTTATCTCAACTATACCTCTGTGTATCGAAATCTCTTTAAGGACAGTTGAAGGTGACACAATGGTTTTAGAAACATGGAGCCTTCATGTTTTACCTGAACATAGTGATCCTACCATCAGAGTAACATACACAGTATATAACAGAATGGGAATTTTATTGAAATCATTATTGTCTATGTCAAGAGTTACTCCAGCGTATAAGCTGAGTAGACGGCAAGGTCCAGACTCTTATGTTATCTGTTATAAAATGTATGTAGGAGAACCACAGCTGCATACTTTAGGTATACAATTTTTCCATTGTATAAAAAATCATCATTTGGTTTATGTTTCCTCATGCTTGCTAAACGTTTTCTATTTTTATAAGTTGAATAAATTATTTAATATAATGTTGTTTTATTCTTACTAAAATGATAACAGAAACCAAAATAAATTTTTTTTAAGGTGATAATTACAAAAATGTTAGAGTAGGTCAATTGTGCACACCAGTAGGTACAATTCATTTATCAGTATCATATAGAACAAAGATGACTATTTCTCCTACTCATACTGGTCGTGATTCAATAATGGTAAAGAGTGATCATTTTCACTCAGATTTAAGTCCTCGTAACACAAGATATCAACAGAGGTAAGCAATTAATGTAATTACTAATTTTTCTATTTTTATTAAATATGGATATATTCAGATACATTTTTTTACGTTTATATTTTAGTGAAGAAACGTCAAAATCTCTCAGTGATACTATTAAAGTGGGAGCCTTTGTAGTCAATAAATCTGTTACTGTTAACGAAGAGGACTTTGTTATACCAGATGTACCTTTTAGTTCTTTGTTAACTCCTAGACAAACTTCTCCTCCTCCTGTCACAGTCGCTGAGGCTGCAAGCACAAAGACTGCAATTACAACTACCACTACAGACAGCGGCAATGGAAATCATGAAAGACTTATAAATGATAATACAACGTCAAAATGCAACTCGCAAAATGGATCTAGGAGAAGTAGTTGCTCAATAACGAGTGCCAACGACGATTTTATTATGGTAGATTTGGTAATTAACGTTCCTACATTTATAATACATTTATGATGTAATCTTTTTAAACATTTGAAATATTATTTCAGAAAACTCCGTTTGCTGGTACAAATACCAATAGTGATTTAGGAGCATTTTATCGGGAATGTCAAAGTGCACCTCAACTTCAAGCTTTTATGGAAGAAAGAACGCTTGCTGAACAAGTAGGAGGCGACCTTACAAAACAGTTGGAAACATTTGAAACAAACATGCGGCGGTATGAGGATATTCTGTCATCACTATGTCATTCAGAAAATAATAACTAATATCATGATTAATTAATGCAATGCTAGGTGCTTTGACAAGAAATGTAACTATAAAGACTACATATAGCATCTTGTCATAGATTTAAATAATTTTTATTACAAGCGATTAATATCACCTTACAAATCTATTTCAATGAAATTTCATGCTAAATACTATCAACGCTTATGGTCACTTAAAAGGATCTAGCCGGATTTGATAGTTAATTTTAATCTTATCTGTTAGACTAATTGTAGAGAAAAACGAAAAATCAGTTTCTGTCCTATTTTCTCTATTTAATCGCGTCTAAGAATTCTGACAGAAGTCTGAAGCGTTTTAGGTTATTAAGGTATTGATTAGGTATTGTATCACATATTATAGACTTATTTTCATTTTTCCGTTGCAAATTCCGATTGTGAAAAATGAAAAGCAGGAGAAAGTATGTTTTTTGGTCTGGTATACCATAGTTCAAAACAATAAAAACTAATTTTCTGTACAGATTAATCCCTAAATCCAGCTAGAGCCTTGGGGTAAAAATATTTGACACAAGTTATATCTATACAACATAAAAATAAAAATTGTTCACCGATGTTATTAATGTATGTGCATTGGCTTTAAGTGTATAACACGTTGATATTTCTTTTATGAACATCTGATTATCAATATAATACATTCAATTATATGATCAATGAATATAAACTGCTTTTTAAAATGATTTAAATTACTTTTTTCACAGAATATTTCATTTGTATCATGTATATTTTTAAGTTCCTTGTAAATTTGACATATACTTTTTATTGAAAAAATTAGAGTGTTCAAACCCGCACGAGTCTCGGGATCCCGAAGTTTGGGATGGGACGAAGAAATTCAAGCGGGATCGGGCGGGATCCCGATACGTTTTACTGCTTGAGATCTCGAGATCCCGAGTGTTTCGGGACTGCGCTCGTTTCACTGGCAGTTTCGGTCTCTATGCATGAATACGATATGTAAGAATCTACAAGCTTCGCACGTGATCTGTTCGGGATTCAGTTGTCAACTATACTGAAAATATAAAAAGAAAACGGAACAGTAATGACATGATAAGTCTTTATGTAAACTTTAAATAAGAAGGATATAAATAAAAAATACAATTTTTGGAACGACATATGAAAAACATAATTAATTTGTTTTTTATTAAAGTTGATGCACGTCGACACCTGCTCTTGTACATGTAACTGTGTTACCAGCCATAGAAAAATATTCGCTGGTTATTTGGGTTGCAGATATCGCAAGTACATATTTTGCCACATTTCGTAATAGTGGATACCTATTGCCGTAACATTTCCACCATTCCATAATGTTACACTTTCTTGATTCGGTTATTTCGGAAAAATACATTATACATTTGTATTATACATTTTACATATATACAGTTGTATATCCCTAGCTTTGCGAGAAGTAACAGTATCGGTTTCTTCTCTCGAATCCAAGTTTGAATCAAAGAACTGTGTTATTTTTTATTTTTTCGGAGCTGAAGAATTAAAAATGTATTAAAAATTCATTAATATAATTAATGTAAGATAGAAACTCAACCATAACTGATATTAGTAATTTAAAAATGTACCATTTTTATTACTGGAAATATTTTGTGAATTATTATTTTTGTTTTGTGAATTTAGATGATGAATCTTGTTGTCAAATATTTCTAACGCATTAACGTCGCAATTACATAGCAATGTAAATCAATTTTAATAAAAATCAAATTGTTCTATGTTTTTCATATGTCGTTCCAAAGATTATATTTTTTATTTATATCCTTCTGATTTAAAGTTTACTTAAGGACACAGTGTGTGCAAACTATTCTATATTATTATTTTCAAATATTATCAAAGAAAAAGATATATTATCAATTTCTTTTTATATTTTCAGTGTGTACTTGACAACTGAATCCCGAACATGTAGATCGCGTGCGACCCTTGTAGATTCGTACATACCCTATCCATGCGTAGAGACCGAAACCGCCCGAGATATCACCCGGGAATCGAGCGCAGTTCCGAAACACTCCCTATCCCGCCCGAATTTCTTCATCCCGTCCCAATCCCGTAACATCGGAATCTCGCATACGCCTAGAAAAAATATGTATAGTAATGCCAATTAATGTGCAATATCATCGATGCTTAGTTATAATATATGGACTATAAAGGAATACTAAACTGTGATCGAAAAATTTGTTATCTTTGAACTCTTGTAACTTTGAATGAAGAAAATCTTAAAATATTGTGAGCGGTTATATAATGTGGAAGTTGAAACTTGATTCTTCGAAACGAGCGTAAGCAGAACGTTGTAAGATTTTTTCACGTAAATTCACTAGTCTTCAGATTTCGATAACTTTTTAGTCATTATTTAGTGTTCCTTTAATTTTGTAAAGTACTTTATTTTGATATTTTAAAACTTTACCTAATTTATTGCTTGTATATAACGTAAATTAAGCTTTAGCGTTGTAATATTAATTGATGATTATAATGAAACTATATAACTTTTTCATATTTTATTAATTCAATCACGTAATAAATGAGGCTGTGCTGCTAATTGTGTACAATTTTTTATAAAAAATTAATACCATAAATCACAGTTTAATGAGCCATCAAACTGCGATTTTATATAATTGTATATATACAAAACAAAGAAAGGAAAAAATTTAAATGATGCATCTGTAACCAAACCAGGTTTGTAACTTGAATGTATATTTAACAATGTATATATTTAATTTCAGTTTCTTCGGGTATATAAAATTATACAAATATTAACTATTAAATTGTAAAATGGAATATGCAAATGTTATTGTGTTAGCTTATTTGAAGTAGCATTTTTACATCTCTGTAATATGTATGTAATTTTAAAATTATAATTTTCATCATATTAAAAAGTTTTAATCGATACTAATTTGTATATGACATTTAAAAACTGCACGTTAATACTTCGGGAAATAAAATTCATCCATTGAGACGAGTAAAAAGTGTTATATGTTGGATATATATTTTACCTTTCGAGTTATGTTTGATTAAAGGAAGTGTTCACGCCCAGTTAGCCAAAATTGTGCACAAATTGATATTTCACGTGGAAAATGGATGTCTTTTTAGTGCCGTGACTGGGTTAAAGCAGAGTTTGTTCCACATTTGGTATGAATTTAGCACTCATATTTGGTACCAAATGCGCACCAAATTGTTTACCGGCATATTCAAACAATTTTGTCAATTAAAATTGTTGCTGTTTAAACAAGATATATTTGAAAATACAAATTTAACATCAATTTAATTTGTGTGAAAATTAAATTTTACCTCGCGCCAAGTCATAATTTCATGTAGAATATCTCTATCAAATTGTGTATATATATATATGATATAAAATAATGATACCAAGTAAAAGAATGGTGTTCGTCTTTTATGATGCTTGGTTTATTTGTACAGAAGTAATATAGGACGCATGGAAGTAATTTATGAAATACTGGAAGTTCATATAAAGTACAGATGTTTATTAATAACATACTGTTTTATATACATACATCTTAGAAATATATTTACATCGTGTGATGTCAAATGTGGGTACATATAAAAATATTTTAATTCACGTATTTACAAAATATTTTATATTTAATAAAGCACTCTTTACTTTAATTATTGTTCTTAAGATCGTTTTCATTTCTTAGCGTTTTATTAAAATTGAGCAAATAGATAAAAAATACGCTTAATCTATTCTAGCACAGTTCGTTGTTTGAAGCGTTCTGATGGAGTTAACAGGTAAATATAAGATATCTACTACTTAAGCAATGGTGTATTAATCCCTTGCCGTACCATTTTCTTCACAGTTATAATGATTAGAACTTTTACTATTGTAATCATTTTTTTAGATGAAACAGACAATTTAAGTATATTTATTGTGTGCTTACATTTAGTTGAATGCGCAAATATTGATACCAAGAGAAAACAATTTTATTTCGCGACTCGAAGAGACAGAATAACATTCTTATTTAACTCCTTAACAGTTTTCAATCGTATAAACTTTATTAAATTCGAAACTACGTTTAATTTTTTATGCGTCCACATGAAGGGAATAAAAGAACGTTAGTCGTCTATCCACAATTATGTGGAAACGAGTTCAAAAATTGATTTATGACGCGTATAGATGGAGATTGTTATGCGTTAAGGGATTAACAGATTATTACTAAAAATCGCCATCATTCAGTAGTTAACACGTTAAGTGTCATGTTAGGCACCGATGACCGACGATATCAAGTATAAAAAATTATATATTCCTCTGCATAAATAAATTCTAAATAATTTGGTTACCATAAAAGAAGGTACTTAACTACGTTACTTGTAATAAAAAGAATTGTAATGAGTATTATTAAAACACGATATTTTCAGGTTTCACGGTATGTTATAACGCGGGTTAAATGGAAAGGAAGAGAAAAGAGGCTTTTGGCACTCAATGTGTTGAACTCGTCAAAGTACGGCAAGGGGTTAATGTCGAATTATTAAACAATGTTCTTTGCTTTTGCGGCTATTGCATGTTTCCCGCAATTTAAGAAGTATATAAATTACGCATTTAATATGTGTCTACTTATTGATATATAGTCAGATTTCTATGAAAAAATTAGAAAGATATTCCACTATAGAGAAAATGAAAAAGATACTTAAACTTATCTATAGGAACAGAAATATTATACAATTTATACTGTACATGAAAGGAATGTGAAAAGCGGAAATAGAAAAGTAGATATGTTGTATAAGTGAAACTGTACAAATAAATAAATTTTGCGACTGACATTTACAAATGATTATAGAAATATCTTCTCCTAAAATATTCCACCTGCAGTTCGATGATAATTCAGTTGACTATGCTGAGAATAATCGTAACCCTGATCGTACCATTCCGCAGACGACGCGGAGTTGACGGTACCGGAAGATGATGTACCAGGATGTCCTACGTGTGATGTGTGTTGATGACTCGACGTATATTCTCCTTGAAAGTGACTGAACTGTCCCCATCCAACTCTACACCAATCAGAGTTTCCTGAAAGTGAATATTAATGTTTAAGTTTTGAACAACAATCTGAAATATAAAAAGAAATATTTTTGAAAATTTTATTGAATCTCTATTGAAATTTTACATAATCTTTTAAAATGCAGAGACAATAAAAACAGTGTTTTGAGGTTTATAAAACGTGTTATTGATTTATGAAAAATCCATTAAATGTTGGTAAATGTTATGTAAATATAATGTAAACATATATATAAATATATAACTACATGTACATATAATTTTCATTGCAACAATATAAGAATAGAAATTGAAGAAGTCTACATTTATATGATTGACAGTTATTCATTGCGGGCTATAATTTATTTAATAATTTAAAAGTAAATATATTTTCATTTATCTATGGTGAGAATAGTTCATGAAACTACTGAATCTTTGTTTTAATACATTCATAATCGAAAGTAATATTACAACATAATTATAATATAATTAATATNACTAGTAAACTAATCAGTCAATGTATTTTTTTCGTCGTACGAGATTTAGATCCTCATTAGCTATAAACAGTCATATAGGTTTTTCCTCCTTTCTTTCCTGTATTCTAAATTAAAATTCTTCATTACGTTAGTTATTTAAATAGCTAATTTTTAGTAATTTTACTTACAACTGTTGTAAATATTGTGTAATACAAGGAAATAAAATTAAGAAATAACTGTAGTACCCCATTAACTTTCTTACTGAGAATCGAATATTTCGTATACTTCATTTCTCCTACGACGCGATTTTTGATTCAGGGTACAGACCTAGGATCCGTACAGAATGGGAATGGTCGCAAATTCGTTGCAGCGGCCAAGGCTAACTTTGTTTGAGAATCCGTCGCGTATATTTCGGAGAATTTAAATCCTGGGCTTCGGGTGTCGTATTCGGGTGGGTTTCCGGCCGACAGTTACACGAATTTTCCTTGAAACCTAAGAATCTTGAGATCACGCCCATGAGTAGAAAACGAGCAGCGGGTTTCGGCCTGTCTCAATGAAAAATTCTTATTGTTGTATTCTTCGCGCCGACTTGAGGTCGCCCGCTATCCCGATTAACTCGGCGCGATTATAGCGACGAGGATTTTGAAAATATAATATGGTAACTCGGAGGGCAGATTTTAATTACAAGCTGCCCTGTCAAAGAAGTGGGGCGAGGGACTGTGTGCCACGACCGCGAGTTCGACATTCATGAAGTCAATTGCTCGGCAGTCTCAGATCGGAAAGATTGGGACCGTGGGCCGCGACCACGAGTTCAATATTTCTCAGAAGTCATTTGCTCGACAACCTCGGATAGAGAAGGATGGGTCCACGATATTTTCAGTCAGTCATACAAACCTCTGTAACACTCGGCGTTCGGAAAACTCTTTTCTTGAGGACTATATCGTTGAAATATATTTAGTTGAAATATTCGCTCATTGGAATATTGAATCGCTGGGATATTTCACGCTTGAGATCGCGCTTAAGGTCGCGTTTGAGATCGCGTTTGAGATCGCGCTTATAATAACCTAANTGAAAAATCCATTAAATGTTGGTAAATGTTATGTAAATATAATGTAAACATATATATAAATATATAACTACATGTACATATAATTTTCATTGCAACAATATAAGAATAGAAATTGAAGAAGTCTACATTTATATGATTGACAGTTATTCATTGCGGGCTATAATTTATTTAATAATTTAAAAGTAAATATATTTTCATTTATCTATGGTGAGAATAGTTCATGAAACTACTGAATCTTTGTTTTAATACATTCATAATCGAAAGTAATATTACAACATAATTATAATATAATTAATAT